GAGGAAGATGATAAAATGTTAAAGCCAAGAATATTAAGCGACACTTCCGATGAGAAAGGGCGATGTGCAGCTGAAAGTACCACTAGTTCAGTTTTATCACCGTTAAGTTTTAGCTTGTTTGTAACCATCCATAAATCAATATCTTTGACACAGGCCTCAACCTTGGATTTTGCTGTCATCATCTCACATAAGGACGTTGTAGAGAAAGAAATATATAATTGTGTATCATCTGCATACAGATGATAGCCAAGCTCATGCCGATGAATGATATCTGCAATTGGTGAAATATATAATGAAAATAAGATAGGTCCTAGAATTGATCCCTGAGGAACACCACAATCAAAAGAACGAGAAAAAGATTTACCTTCCGGGACACTGACATAAAATTGCCTATCACTAAGATAGGATTTAAACCATTTAAGAGCTAAGTCTCTAACTCCAAAAGATGTATATAGCCGATTTAAGAGAATATCATGGTTTACAGTGTCAAAGGCAGCAGAAAGGTCTAGAAGGACAAGAAAAMCTGATTTGTTCATATCTATGTCACGCAAGATATCGTTTTGCACTTTTAGAAGAGCAGTTTCCAAGCTGTGGTTTTTCTTATAAGCAGATTGCAATGGTACATTGATATTATTTCTCTCAAGATGGTCGATCAGCTGGTGTGAAACAACTTTTTCAATAGCCTTTGACAAGAACTTTAAGTTAGAAATAGGTCGAAAACTAGAAAATTCTTCAGTGGTTAAATTCTGCTTTTTAAGGAGAGGCTTAATCACAGAATGTTTTAGAATCGAAGGCATTGACGCATTTTTCAAAGAAAGATTGGCAATCTTACAAATGACGGGCGACAAATGGCTTGCAACCAATTTTAAAAATTTGCCAGGAACAGGGTCAAGCTCACATGATTTTGTCACCAAAGGAAAAATATGTTTAGAGAGATCGTAATGATGAATTTCAGAAAAGGATGTGAGATAATCATTCAGAAAGACACATTCACTGGGCAGAGTATAAGAGATATCCTCAAAATTATTTTGTATATTGATAATCTTGTTTACAAAAAAATCAGCAAAACTATTTGCGAGATGGTTTGGCGAAACAGCCAATGGAAAACTCTTCTCAGTCTTCTTGTGGGTCATTTTTTCAAAAGTAGAAAAAAGAGTTCTTTGGTCCGACTGATGCTCACGGATCATGTTTGAGTAGTAACCATTTTTAGAAGATTTTAAGAGATTTTTTACAATATTACATTGTTCAACATATAATTCTTTGTCAACAGTCAAGCGAGAGTGCSGCCATCGATTTTCAAGTTTTCGACGCTTAGCTTTTTCAGTCTTGATCTCTGATGTATACCAGGGATTGTAAGGACGCAGAGAAACTATACGGTTTTTAGATGGAGCATGAGAATTTCGGACAGAAACGAGTGTGGCGTCATACTGCTCAAGTAGGCTATCAAGATCACCATTAGGAGATATGACTAAAGAAGAATTTGAAATTTCATGAATAATTGCATCAGGATTCCATTGCCTTAAGGTTACGACATTTTGTGACAATTTTTTGAAAAAGAGGTTTTCGTATTTTGAGATCACCAAAAACCGCAGAATGAAAAGAAATACAAGGATCGAAAACGGAAATATTACAAATGACATCATCCCCAGTCCTTGTAATTACAAGGTCACTTTTGCCTCATTTGCATCTCACAATTCCTACAGTCCCACAATTCCTACAGTCCCACAAATCACACWAGTCCCACAGTCCCACAGTCCCACAAGGTATAATTTCATGAGCCCCACCCCCCTCCTCGATATGGYCCTCCTCTCCTCCTCGATATGGTCCTCCTCTCCTCCTCTAAGGTATAATTCGGTCCCTACACTACTACTAACGTTCAAGTGATTTATCTCATTTTCGAAGATTTTAAGAGACTTTATCACGCCAACATTTTCGCCGACGTATGATTCTGACAGATACATGTATATGTCAATTTGTAGTCACAATGRAAATTGCTAATAGTTCCAAAATGGTTTGCTTGATCTTGTAAGAACAGTCAAAGCACTAATTTTGAAGCAGCGTTATGAAAGGCAGATTCTGTTCGATTTACATAGTGAAATTTGACACCTTGCATCGTCTTGTCTACTTTGCGCGCTTTTCGGCTGAACGATAATTTTGACAAACACCGGAGTTTAATATAATGTGATTTAATAGA